GTAATAGTGATAATAATATATTTTCACAAATATATTTGAAAACAAGGAAAGATGGAAGGAAAGGAAATCTTATACAATATATAATCATTGAGACAATAATTTATTATCGCAGAGGCCCCTTTTGCATTTACAGTTTTCAGCCTCAATGGGATCTGCACACTTACGGGCGATCAAGAAGCAACTCCAAATTCCAGGTCTTTGCATAGACTTTCTGTGGATTTTAAGTTTGGGTTTTGCCTGCGGCACTGAAAGACAGTCGGAGACTTGTTCCAAAGCCACTCTGGTATTGTTTTGGTTTTATGGTGCCTCTTCAGGACTGATATTCTTTCCTTTTCTTTTGTCCTTGAAGAGTCCATTAAATTCATTAAATTGTCAAACTCCAGGCAGGCTTTTGTCTGCTGTTATATTGTGGCTTTACACCAGCTTTACTCTACTGAAGTTCTTGTGATCAGCCCTGATACCTTCTCTAGCAATATCAAATCATTTGCCAAGTATCTGATCAGTATTTGAACTTCAATCTCACATTTCAACAATCTCACTGTTTTTCATCTAAGAAAGGATGCGAAAATCAAACATTTACTATCACCCAGTAATTTGAAACTTTTACTACCGTATTTATGGGACCATAAGGCCCACAGTATTATAACTGTGGGCCTTAACGCGCACTGTCGACAAACGGGTCTGTGTTCATACATAAGGCGCACTGCATTATAAAGTGCATTAAACAAAACAAAACAGTCAGATAAGTCAAACTTTACTCAACTCATTCCTCTTGCTTCCTCCACTTCCGTACAATTAAACATACTGTTGAATTATCTGGTAGGTGCTCTAACACTGGAACAACAGTATATGTTATTCCAGTGTTTTTCTAATTTTTGCTATGTAACTTTGCACTGTCCAACTTTCTGCTGTAACAAATTTCCCACGTGTGAGAGTAATAAAGGTTATCTTATCTTACATTAATGATTAACCTCATATTGTGGCTGGATTATCTCAGTTGTTCTCCCCTACTGAAGTTTGGTCCGTTTACAGCAATTTTCCATCCGATTGATCCGATTCCGATCCATCCATCCGTCCAAAAAAACCCAAAAAAAACAAACCATTGGGAACTTTTATCAAGTGGAAAAAGATTAGCGTTCATTCTCCAGGTTTACTGTGTTATGCTTTGGTATGCTAACATAGCGGTGTCGCTAGCGATCACTAGCACAGCATTATATACCATCTAGCCCAACTTCAGTAATCCTACAAACGTCACTATTGTGTAGTTTTCTCTCTACATTCATGTTGGAAGTCATAGCAGAGCTGTACATTTTATTTTTTTTCCAGAAATCTCTCAGTCAGAACATGACATAGCATGTTTAGGTAACTAGCGAAAACAGCGAGCTAAATATCTGCTAACCTTCTGCTAACTTCTAACTCCGTTTAATTTAATAAATTCTGTTTTCATGTATGCCTGGATGTTAAACTTAATTGTTACACATGGTAAAGCAGCAACGCAGATCATTTTATTAAAGATGAAATAATTTAGAAAGTTTTTAACTCTCAGTGATGCTGCAGTGTTCGTTTGACTTTGGGACCTGAAGCGGACGGAGTTTTGGGCCCACTGTGTTATGCTGACATTTCTGTGTCGCAAGCGATCACTAGCACAGACTTTTCCCCCCTTTCCATCCCTCAGTCTTATCTGCTATGGTTGTAATAATCCAAAATAAAAAATATTAAGGCTCTAATAAAATATGACTAGGTGACTCAAGTAGACAATTACAGCAAATGCCATAATGCTCCATTTGTTAAAATTGCTACACCGCACGACAGGACAGGTCCCCCACTCCCAAAACGAAACAAAAAAGAACAAACTACTCAGCACTTAAACATCAGATTTTTTGCTATACTTCACCCAGCCAACATGTATATATGGGCCCCACCTGGTTTTTGCTCGGGCTGGATGGGTACCATGTGGGCATGGGCTCAAACTGGGCTTTTTGTATGGGGCCTACTTGGGTTCTTCACATTAAACCCATATGGGCCATCCCAAGTGAGCACTTTTAGTAGGTCCTAGCTGGGTCAAACATGGGAAACACTTAACTTGGTCCAAAATGGGAAACACATGTAGGACCCACTTGGGTTTTCCACCTGGGATAGACATGGGCAAACACAGTCATTTAAGGATAGGCTGTTGTTGTGTGCCCCAGGTGGGGCAAAGTTAGGTAATCAATATATGTTTTAGTATCGATGACACAGGTGGGCCCCACCTGGTCAAACTAAATGGGTCGCACATGGGCAAATGCAAGTCAGACCCTGAAAACATGTCTATGTGGGCCCCAGGTGGGGCAAAGTGAGGTAATCAATATATTTTTTTAGCACTGATGACATAGGTGGGGCCCACCTGGTCAAACTATATGGGTCGCACATGGGCAAATGCAAGTCAGACCCTGAAACATGTCTATGTGGGCCCCAGGTGGGGCAAAGTTAGGTAATCAATATATTTTTTTAGCACTGATGACATAGGTGGGGCCCACCTGGTCAAACTATATGGGTCACACATGGGCAAATGCAAGTTAGACCCTGAAAACATGTCTATGTAGGCCCCATATGGATTATGTTAAGTTAATATGGGCATATATTTTATGTGGGCTCAAGATTGTTTAGTATATATGGGACCCACTTGGGTTTCTCACATGAAAGCCATATGGGCAAAACCAAGTGGGAACATATAGTAGGTCCTGGCTGGGTCAAACATGGGAAACACTTCACTTGTTTCAAAATGGGAAACACACGTAGGACCCACTTGGGTTTTTCACCTGGGTTAGACATGGGCAAACACAGTCATTTAAAGAAAAGCGTTTGCTGTGTGCCCCAAGTAGGGCAAAGTTAGGTAATCAGTATATATTTTTTAGTACTGATGACACAGGTGGGTCCTACCTGGCCAAACTATATGGGTCACACATGGGCAAATGCAAGTCAGACCCTGAAAACATGTCTATGTGGGCCCCATATGGGTTATGTTAAGTTAATATGGGCATATATTTTATGTGGGCTCAAGATTGTTTAGTATATATGGGACCCACTTAGGTTTCTCACATTAAAGCCATATGGGCAAAACCGAGTGGAAACATATAGTAGGTCCTGGCTGGGTCAAACATGGGAAACACTTCACTTGTTTCAAAATGGGAAACACACGTAGGACCCACTTGGGTTTTTCACCTGGGTTAGACATGGGCAAACACAGTCATTTAAAGAAAAGCATTTGCTGTGTGCCCCAGGTGGGGCAAAGTGAGGTAATCGGTATATATTTTTTGGTACTGATGACATAGGTGGGGCCCACCTGGTCAAACTATATGTGTCACACATGGGCAAATGCAAGTCAGACCCTGAAAACATGTCTATGTGGGCCCCAAATGGGTTGTGTTAAATTAATATGGGCATATATTTTACATGGGCTCAAGATTGTTTAGTATATATGGGACCCACTTGCGTTTCTAACATCAAATCCATATGGGTGGGCATCCAATGTAGGTCCTAGTTGGGTTAGTGATGGTAAATGTGTACATTGGTTCAAAATGGTAGCACATGCTTATGTGAGGATTCTTCTTCTGTGAAGAGCCTGAGAAAGTGTTATTTGAATAAAGGAGGATTTATTCCAAACAAGCCCATCACAGATTGCGCACAACCCAGGGAGTTCTGAAAGTCAAATTGTAAAAATAATCTCAAAAGAAAGTATGAACATAACTCTCTTTTATAACCTGCAGACGGCACCCATGTGGTACCATTCTCTAAGAAATCACCCTAACTTTAACATATTTGGCACAACCTCAGTCTATCACTTTTGCTACCCTTACGTACAGTCAGATGTTCTTGACCCTTCATTTTTGACCCTCTCAGTATTTAGCCTTGGCTAGCAAATGTACTCAAAGTCCACATTGAGACCTCAAGATGTTATGTGTTATCAGACACTACAACCCAGCTGTCAAGTGAGACTATAGGAACTTTGGTGTTTTTGAACATTCAATGTTACTCAAAACACTCTGCACACTATTCCAAATAACTGGTTTGAAACTGGTTACTTTTTAATTTTAGATTTCATTTTATGTACTTAATGTGAACTCTGCATGGTAGGCTGCATGGTGAGGCTCAGATAAGATAAAATAAGGACTTCATGATTCTTCTTAGGTAAATTCACTTGTCACAGCAGCAATAATAAGTGATTAAAACGGACACAAGAGTAGAAAAAAAGAAAAGCAAAAAATACGAATAAAAAACCTAAGATAAAAGTGAATTACACAGACAAAATCCAGATTTGGCATTTGCAAATTAAGGATTACTGGTTGTTCAAACAATTAAGACTATTTACTTGAGCAAACATGCAGTTGAGGATTTTTAGTAGATCAGACACACTCTACTGTATTAGAGAAAAGACAGTTAGTTACATGGAAGATGGAAGTTTTGGTTAATCAGATCCAGTAAAGCTCCTGAAGTATATTACCAATCTGTTAAAATGTTACTCTTCAAACTTGTGCCCTCAAATTATATAACCAGAAATAATTTATATTTTCTTTGAACTAGTGGAAAGGAGAGGGAATGGGGTCTTTCAAGCAGTCACACTTCAACTGTGAAACTCCCTTGTCCTTATGGTGTATTGACACTATTGAAACTTTTCAAAACCAGTCTAATGTTAGAAGAGCTTTTAGGTAAACTGTTATTCTTCTTCTTATCATTATTGTATTTTTATTAATTATATTTTTATTATGATGTTGATTTGGGTGACACTTTTTGATAAATATTATATATTGCTTTTTAAAACATATTAACCATCCCTATGCTTAAAAAACTTTTAAAAATAAAATTGTTCTTTTAAACTTGTGCATTGTTTGACTTTTAAAATTTTTGTATCAGGTGTAAAACGACTTTTTAAATAAAGTTGTTTTTAATGTGAGCAGCTCCTATTGGCTCGTTTAAAAAGAGGGAGGAGCAGATTGCACCGCCTAGCGTCTAGTCTTCGCGGTCTTTCGTCTGTTGCGCCTTTTCTCTCCCTGGTGTTTAAGAACGTGGAGGACAAAAGGATACCAAAGAATCGAAAACTATGACAAAGGTAAATACTTAAAGTTTGATACGTTTTCATCAATGGTTATTTTAGTAACTTTCTATAGTCGTCCTAAACGGTATAAGGGGGAGAAGCATAACATCTTTAGCTAGCAGGTAGAACTGGGTTAATTTGCTGCATTGTCTTTGGCAAACATAATTTAAAGTTAATTAAAAAACTCTTACTGCCTATATTCTACTCAATAAAGTTCATCTTATCTTATTCTGTTTTCATTGCACCATTCTCTCTATACAGTTTTTGAATTTACACACTATAACGTACACGGCAGTTTTTTTCTGTGCTTCTGCAACTGTTTCTTGGGTTTTCCTATAAGGTTTTTGTAATTAATTTAAAAAATTTATATTATTTTTTTGGCTTTAGTGGATTCCTGCTCAGCTAACTCGGCCATTATGCACTACCCAGTAAACAAAATGGCTGAACAGTATCTTAAATGTCTGAACATGAGCTAGTCATACCATGTTACGTAATATTCATGTGCAGTGTAGCAAGGTGATTGTTTAAATTACAGGAGTAGATGCCTGCAGCTGAAACGGTTTTCTGATCTGAATACGGTAATGTTACCAGATATGCATTGTACTATGGGAAAACGGTGGTGGATCAGTGTGTAAAAAGCCCCCAAAAGAAACACACAGCGTCTTTAGCTCAAACACTGTCTGATCACTCTCTTAGATACTGTGCTGTTCCATCTAGTTATTGGTTACTGAGAAATGTTAGGTCATTAATTAATTAAGAGAGTGCAGCTGTTCAGATCAGATGGTGAAGTAGGAAAATGCAGAACATGTTATTATAGCTGAATGCTGTGTAAAATACTAGTAATAAATCTAACTCCCATTTATGGCTTTTACTACTGTGGGGCTAAATAAAAAAATTACAGACATAATGAAATCTGCTACAATTACAAAGCTTAAGTTTAAAACAATTATTATTAAGCATTTTTTTGCTCTTTTTTTTTTTTTAATTCTTTTTGCTAATAATGGACTCAATTTTATTATCAACTTCAAAGACCTATTAAACTTTTAAACCATTAAATCCAGGAAATTAGATGCCCGTAAATGTACGAGACCCTCTTTATGTCTAGTATCCCCAAATATTTAATAATCCTTTCTAAAAGTACACAAATTTTGTTCTTTTCAATTAAATATTGCATGTTCAATGTATTCTTGAGCAGGTAAAAATTCCACTAAATTAGTTTTTGCATATTTTTAAGTATAATCAAATTTTTATAGTTTGCGAGTACTTTTAATTTGGAGATTTTGCCACTTGATTTGAAGTTTGGATAGTGCTTTATAGTAATTTGTAAATGTTTTGAACTCATCTGGCTTCTTAATAATTTAATAAAAAATTAACAAGCCATGTAATAATTTGAAAACCACTAGGGACCACTTATAAAAAAGTAATTCCTTTTTTACTTAAAGGAATTTAGGATTTATGTCTGTCAAGTCATTTGTTCTGGCATAAGTCACCATTTTGATATATCTTCCTGTGACTTTAAAGTCTGTCAGCTAGTTAGATACATTTTTGCACTGCTAGTGTTTGCTGCTTGAATTAGGCAGTTTATCATATAAACACATGCAGTGCCTTTCAAACTTTTAATTACACTGTTCATTTTGTGCATTAGTAAGAGAATCTTTTATATTGAATTATCCTGGGAAAAAACAAAAATGTTTGTATTTTCTCATGCACTTTCTTTCATTTCCTTATCACGTTTAGATTCTTCAAGATCACAAGCACCATCTTTGACATGTAAGTAACTTTCATATTATTTGTATTACTTATTATTATTATTTTTGAAAAGTGATGGTCTTTGGGGCATCCTTTTTTTTTTATTGGTATTAAGTATATATATTTATTTAGGCACAGGAGGCAATGATCTATTTTAAAATTTAACATTTATTTAATTTTCATCTTTTATGCTAACAATAATGCCAACAGTGTTCTCTTCACTTGACCCACAACTCTGACAGTTTTGGTCCTCTGCTCTCCTCACAATTGGCTGATTTCCATCTGAGCTGCTACTGTCAACTGCATTAAACTGATTTTACATTGCCTTGTTATTCTAATCTTTATCTGCGTTTTGGACTCCAAACATTCACACCTGCTGTTAGTAACCAGAGCTCACAAGAGTGTAAGGCGTGTAGTTCAATAAAGTGATCGATGTGTTCACTAGCTGATTTCAATAAACCGGTAACTTATCAAATCCATATTTTATAGGAAGTACATTACTGATAAAAGTGGTAATAAACACGGTAACCAATAAAAATTTAAATTTCCAGTTATAAAAAAAAAATACTGCAGTGAGCTCGGTTTTCTAACACCAGGTGTGAACATCTACAGTCTTTAAGCGCTGGTAAAGATTTAAAAATAAAAGCATTCAATAACATAACATTAAACACTAAATTAGTTTGATGGTGTTGACTGCAGCAGCTCAATGTTAATCAGCTGATGGTGATGGAAGCAGATGAGCGTTTTTCATCATGGTTGTTAGTGATGTGTTGGTCAAAACGAAACGGCTCTTTGAAGTGAACGACACAAGCGTGTTTTTTCTCTCTCTCTCTCGCACTTTTTTTCCGCTTCACTCTGCACGCGAGCCTTGTGCTTTGCGCTGGGAAGAGGGGGGAGGGGCGGTTGTTACACACGCAGTAGCACAGTAACAGAGCAGGAGGGAGAGAGAGAGAAAGAGAGCCAGGGACAACAACGTCACATTAGAAAGGTATAGTAACCATCCACAACTATTTTCAATTGCGGATGATAAAGGATTCAGAAAGTTTATTCATGCAGGCCCATATGACAGAGAATGTGCATCTTCTGTTTGTTTTCATATTATAATTTATATTTAATTGTGTTGTGGTTTGCAGTGTTTTGTGTTGTTTCACTTTAAATTTGTTTAAAAGGAAAAAGCTGAAAATTTAAATAGTTAAAAGTTGAAATGTAAATAGTTGTTTTTTTGTATTATATGATTTATTTATTACATTTTATGTGGAGAGAATAAATAAAAGTATATTTACGGTGGCTGCTAGAGACAAAGCACGTACAAACCCCAAAACACGTAAAAACTCCATAGCACGTACAAACTCCAAAGCACGTACAAAACACAACAGAAGTGCTCCAGGATGCTAGGCACAGTGTTGAGATTTTGTTACCTAGTGGCTACACAAGCCAGGAAGTACCAACGACCGGATTTGGTGTGTGGTAGTAACAGGTAAATGAACAGCTTTTGGAATTTTTTATGAATATATATGAGTGCTTGTGTATAAATACACAAAAAATACACATATGATTTCAATTGTGTAAATTAAGTGATCTAGATAGCTCTGTTTTGGAAGTTCAGTTGACGCTAGAAATGGGTTTTGGAGTTTGTACATGCTTTGTCTCTAGGGGCCACCATATATATTTATATATAAACATATATAAATAAAACCACGTTTCTTTTTTTACATTAGTAATTCCTTTTGTTCATAATTTTATATTGTTGTTAATAATAAATTAATTAAAGCAACAAAACAACCTGAAGAGCCGGTTGGGAGCCGAAAGAGCCGGCTTTCTAAAAAGAGACGAAAATCCCATCACTAGTTGTGTAATATGCTGGTATTGATATGATCAAAAATGAACTGAGTTGTTTCGTATTCTATAGAAATTGTACATCTAATTAATAACAAGGCTTTCTGCTGATGTTATTAATTAAAAATTTATTGTTTTATTTTTAAGCAACAACTTTTTAGCATGCAATCAGTCCATGCTGTACAGGACAGATTTGTAAACTGTGCATACAAAAATAGACTATTTTACAAAATTGCTCTTTCAACAAATGTAAATCACAGCAGATTTTTTTTGTTGTAGGTGCACTGTCACAACTAGAAATGTGGGGGGAAGTCCTCAAAGTTGAAGGCAGAACAGGAAAATACATGGAAATAACAATTTTCCTTTAAATGGTAAATGGCCTGCATTTTTATAGCGCTTTTCTAGTCCCTAAGGACCCCAAAGCGCTTCACACTACATTCAGTCATTCACCCATTCACACACACAATCACACACTGGCGATGGCAAGCTACATTGTAGCCACAGCTGCCCTGGGGCGCACTGACAGAGCACATCAGTAAAGGTCGATCTGGATACTTGATAACTGTTGGTATAGGTATGACATGAATTTGAATCTCCATTATCACAGGTTTTAATTGGGAGGGAACATGCAGATATACAGGAGGACTATAAACAGCAATTCCTATTGCATACAACTGTTTTAGAAAATACCAACAACACTGTTAATTTATCACTTGCTGGTCTATAGACTTTACAGTGTGGATGGATGGAAAATCCATCTGGCTCCACTCTGGCTGAATTGGTGCTACAAACAACTCTGCGCTCGGCTTTCCTGGCTGTGTGTGGATTTATACTTACACATCCAAATTTTGACCCTATTTTTCTTCCTTTCAGCTGATTGGTCAATTTCATGTCAATCACCAATTAAACAATCCAATCAGAGAACATCTCCAGAAGTTGATTCTGTTCATCTGGACGTAGCATTTTCAGTGGGAGAAAATGCTGCAAGCGCTACGTCCAGATGAACAGAATCAACTTTTGGAGATTTACTTACCTGGATGATTGAGCATGCATCAAGACAATCAGAGAACAGATAGGTTTGGCTGTTGGAGGGCTGCATTACGGAGCTTCAGGTCCTGGAAGAATAAATTCCCTTTTACATACCAGACCAGCATTTTTCTTCATTAGCACGAAGGAAAACAGTCTGTGCGTGTCAGAGTTCTGTGGTTTTTGTGTCACAGGGCTTATAATATGTGTAAAAATCTGGCCAGGGACCATCACATCACACTGCTATCATATTTTTCTGTTGCTATCATGTTTCTTTTCTGAGATGTTGTTACTTTTATGACAGATGTAACGAGAAATCTTCCAGAAAGTTAAATTTTTTATTCTAATCAAATATTTGATTCTGATAACAGATAATGATTTTTTTTTTTACTTTTGTTCTGCTATTTCATAGTTTATACAAATTTTGGCCAATTCCTATTTATTTTAACCCTTTAGCCCCCAAAAAAAAAACCAGCGACAGGTTTTTCCAAACCTGTCTCGTCAAACCTGAGCTCTGCCAGGGGCCCAACACGCCTGGACTTTTAGAAGAAAAGAGATGTCCGAAAATAAACCACAGGGTCAAATACTTAATTTTGTTCAGTGTTTTAGAGTTATTAATTTGAATTGACTAATTTAAATATTTTATTCATGTACATTTTGATTGCCTTTAGTAAAAATGGCAAAATTTCAATTTCTTTTTTCTTTCTGTTATTAATCCTTGATTACATTCATATAGTATACAGTAGAGGAAAAAACCTACCAGACCTACCAGTTATCCTGCGTAACATTATTGGGGATAAAGGGTTAAGGAAGCGCAATTAATTTTTTTAGTTTAGCTTGTGTTTACTACCATTTTTTTTTTTTATCACCACACAGTAAACATTAAGTAATATGTAAAGTGTCCATTTATCCTCCATTCCGGTCCATTATCTTAAGCTTAGGCTGCTGCCCCTCGACCCAATCCGGTACTAAGTAGAGAGGCCCAGACTTCGCTCTCTCCAGGCACTTGGCCCAGCTCTTCCGGGGGAATCCCAAGGCATTCCCAGGCCAGCCGAAAAACATAGTCCCTCCAGCATGTCCTGGGTGTTCTGGGTCTCTTCCTGGTGGGACGTGCCCAAAACACCTCACCAGGGAGGCATCCTAACCAGATGCCAGTATCTAATCTGTCCTTTTTGTATGTTCCCCTCAGGTTGCCATGGTAGCAGATACAGGGGAAACAAGTGTAGACGATGCCACAAGAAGGATGATGAAATTCCTCATATCACCTGAGCTGGCTGTGGAGTACAACATGCTTGGCCGACATGGGGAAAAAAAGTTCAGAGATTTGCGTCTTTTTAATGTTGTGTATGGTAAGTTAGTTTCACTTGAGACATTTGAACTTTAGAAAACGAAACTTTTTTAATAAAGTGTTTGAAAGTGTAACTGAGATTGGTTATCATGCAATTTGTATATATTTTTTGAGGCAATAAAGTGAAATAAACATTGTTCTTTGAAAATCATCACCAAATGAAGTAAGCTAAGATTAACTTTACTTTGGCTTGCCCGTTTTTCTTCTTCTTCATTTGCAGAGGCACTGAAGAATTATTTAACATCAAAAGTCAACTTGCAAGAAGCAGAGAAGGCTCTGTCCAAGTGGTTCAGTGGAGCTAAAGACAGAGGAGGACCGAGGGCTGCAAGGGTACAAAATAGACTTACGGCTCTGTAAAAAAACAAACCCTGCTGATTCAAGATAAGCTTTTGAGTTTTCCATCTGACTTTTTCCCCATGTTGCTACAGTTCCAAATATCTAAGGAATTTTGCTGTAGTTTGACATTTCTAGTTTTTAAACGTTTACGCACTTTGGAATACAGTTACGTAAAATCACAGTTGTTGGACAAAATAAATGTGAAAAATGTTGTTTTGTGTACCCTCGTGATTTTTGAAATGGTTTTATTTACAAACTAGATTTTGTTTGCGGTCAGCTTTAATATATTTGGTGTCTTTGTGACAAAGAACCCGTATTAGCCGTCTGAAAAATTGATTTTGTGACTGTTTTACTACATGGGGCCCACTCAGTGCCAGAACTTAGTCAATTCAAACTAGAAATAAGATGCAAATACACTTGCTAATGCCATTCCAACTTTTTAGCTCATGTTTTCCTCATGTTGTACCCACTAAGAACTTGAAAAATGGGGCCTAGGTGGGTTTCAGTGTACTTTGCCCAGTTGGGGTCCATTTAGTTCCCAGATTTTACCTATATAACACCGAGATGGGCTTATAAAATGGGGCCATTATGGAACCCGCGGACAATCCCACTTAAAACCCACTTTTTAGCCTATGTGGTACTCACATGGTACCCACAAAACAACTTGAAAGGTGGGGCCTGGGTGGGTTTCTTTGTACTTTGCCCAGTTGGGGTCCATTTAGTTCCCAGATTATACCAATATAACACCGAGATGGGCTTACAAAATGGGGCCATTATGGAACCCGCGGACAATCCCACTTAAAACCCACTTTTTAGCCTATGTGGTACTCACATGGTACCCACAAAACAACTTGAAAGGTGGGGCCCGGGTGGGTTTCTGTGTACTTTGCCCAGTTGGGGCCCATTTAGTTCCCAGATTTTACCAATATAACACCGAGATGGGCTTATAAAATGGGGCCATTACGGAACCCGCGGACAATCCCACTTAAAACCCACTTTTTAGCCTATGTGGTGCCCACATGGTACCCACAAAAACTTGAAAGATGGGGCCCGGGTGGGTTTCTGTGTACTTTGCCCAGTTGGGGTCCATCTAGTTCCCAGATTTTACCAATATAATACCGAGATGGGCTTATTAAATGGGGCCATTATGGAACCCGCGGACAATCCCACTTAAAACCCACTTTTTAGCCTATGTGGTGCCCACATGGTACCCACAAAAAACTTGAAAGATGGGGCCCAGGTGGGTTTCTGTGTACTTTGCCCAGTTGGGGCACATTTAGTTCCCAGATTTTCCTAACATAACACCGAGATGGGCATTTAATATGGGGCCATTACGGAACCCGCGGACAATCCTATATGGGGCCCATTTTTCAGCCCATTTCCAAACCATATGGGCCCCACATATAAATGTTGGCTGGGCACTGGCTTCCAGTGAATTCAAATTTCACTAAAAAAAGGCTCTTGTTGAGACTTTTTTTAAGCAGTCGGCCTCTTCAATCATCTGATCGGAATCTTTCAACCGCTCCACAATCTTATTTTAAAACCAAAGGCAACCGGTCCTTTGTGGTTGTAGCACCTGACCATTAGAACAGCCTTCCTCAGCCAATCAGTGTTTTTTTTTTCCTTTTAATTACTGCTGAAAAATCATTTTTTAAGATTAGCTATAAACTTTCACCCTTTATTTTTGACTGTAGTGCTTCATATTTTTATATGTACACTTCTCTAATGTTTTTTTCACACAACCGTAAAACACTCTCGTCTGTATGGTTTAAAATTTGCTATAGCAATATGATTATTATTAGAGGAAATCTGCATTAGATGTGGTACTACCAAGATAGTCATCAACCCTGTCACTGCAGGGGGTTCAGACTGACCAAAGGGTTCTTGGTCATGTCCCCAGTTGAAGCCTTTTTTGCTCAGATTTCAAACTCCTTCCATTAGACCATTATTGAGGCCACTGTACTCCTGGGAACACTCCAAGCTTGAGAAATTGTTTTATACCCCAGCCTGGGTCTGTGTCTCACTGCAATTTTATTTCACAGGTCTACAGAGAGTTACTTGGACTTGGTAGCTTGGTTTTAGTCTTGACATGAAACAATACACAGGAATGTGCCTTTTTAAAACTATGTCCAATCAGAGCAATTTGCCATAAGAGCAGTCTAATCAAATTCTAGGCACATTTTTTTTTTGCTATAGTTAAAGCAGACATGATGCACCTGGCAACAATCTGTTGAGTCCCGCTCAAATAACGTGTACAAAATTTGCTGAATGCTTTCAAATTTTTCAAGAAGCAATTAGTCCAGTGCGACGAGCTAACGTCTCCGTACATTTGTCTACGTATCCATCAAGAAAACACACCTTAACATGTACTGTGCTGGAAAGCTGGCGCAGCAGCAGGAAACTGCATCCAGACTTCATGCAGAGGTTCAAGAAAACACTGAAGCACAACGTGAGTTATTGTATCAAAACTTTATTCTCAAATAATGTCATCAAAATAGCTGATAGATAAACTGTATGTCTCTTTAGCAGGTTGTGAGGCTGCATTCACTTACTGTTATTTAAACCTTCATAACATCCCATTGTGTTTCTCCTTCATGATCTCCAAGGAGGATAGAAAATTCCATTTTTAAGGTACATGTATATTCCAGGAACCTCCAAAAACTGTTGTCAATTTGATAATGAAGCTAGCGCCTAAATTTGCAACATGTTCACGTTCCACTCTAAAACCAGTGTTTAACCAAGCAGTACCAAATCTCTTCTCATTTAGACAGAAATGAGGTCAGATTTTAGTCTGTAAAGGGGTCAAGTCCAAAATCCAGAATCTTTTTGTGCCTGTGAATGTCATCCCACACAGTCGCACAGGGCTGCTGTTACACAAGAACACTGTCTTTTACGAAGCTTCATTTCAAACCACCGGTACCTACCCTTAATAATATTATGACACGTAACATCTGGTGTTTGTTTAGTGTGTTCATGTGTCTGAGATCCATTTTTTTAAAAGTGTAAACAATATTTTAATGAGAAGAGTCACCAATTTTTAGGACAGCTGCCACATAAGAAGCCATACAAAACTATTGAATGTGTCACTGCATCGTGTACCATATCTCTGTGAATGCTTTCAAAGCTTTAATGTTCAGAAGAACGACATAAGCTGCAAAAGTGTTTTACACAGTCAGTAACATTGTCTGAAGGTGTGACTCTCATCATACGTGTCCCTTCAGCACAAGTACAATCAATACCGGGTTTCTGTTCCTGTGTAAAAGCAGCCATGATGGACAAACGAGATCTGACATTTTTATATTTTTCATCTTTTAAAGTCAGTTTGAACCATAGATTTTTTTTACATGGTGTGTAACAGTAAAAACATTGACTGTAATGAACAAGATTTTTTTGTACCTACTTCATTAATCATAAAAAGTACAGCATGTTTAATAATTTGTTTCTTCTTTTCTTTTTTTACAAATTCTTCATAAAAAATAGATTTCTGTACAAAAATGTTTTTTTTCTTTTGCACCTACTTCAAGTTCAGCAGCACATGATGATGGTGAGACGACAGAGATGAAAATGTAGATATTATGAGGCATAAAATAAAAACATTTACAATGAATGCAACTTCCTGTTAAGGACCTGCCGATTCTCGGCTTATTCCTGCCTTTCGGGAGAAGAAAAAATAAACTCTTTATTTCAGTATTTATGAGCAACAGCAATGCTTTATGTTAATATGTGTTGCTGAGAATGCATCTTTTTTGTGTAACGTGTAAAGATAGCATATGTGAGGCTCACACAGCCATGAGCTGGCAATGCCATAATTATCCTTTTGGTTAAATAGTGGAAATAATGTAATATTCAATCCAGAGCAGGTAGTAGATTTTAGCTCTAACATCAGCACACAGCATGAGAAGTTTGTCCTCACCAAACTGTTGAGAAAAAGATGCAAAACAAATATAAACTATACTTAATATTTAGTTTGATTAGCATAAAAAGTGAAACAAAAACAAGCCAGATATTTAGACTATATGTGTGTAAGTAAGACTAATATTGTTTGAGAAAAGAGATACACAACAAGGTCAGATTTCCATCTGGCAATGAATTTCCAGCAGTGATTTTTTTCCCTCCTCCCAAAGCTCATTGTGGCTTTGAGTCCCTTGTTTCATCAAGGACTGCCGACAATACCGCTCTAGAAAAAGTGACGGACAAATCAAACCTCTCCCCAAGCTGCGAGAAGTCCTAACTGAAGAAGTAAAAATAACCTTGGCATTTTAAAATGTAGTCTGTAGTTCCTTTCTTAAATCTTGCGGCCAGCTGTCGCTGCTTTAAACAGCGAAGACTGCTGCCAAATTAAGGACAAACTTTAAAACGTCCTGACTAATTCTGCTAAAAAAAAGAAAAAAAAAAGGCCTCAAGTGAAGAGGACATCGTCCAGATTTTCAAGGCATCTTGTGGCACTTCTCTGTCACGTTCAGCTGAATTTCGTTTTGCTCATTTTAAAAAGGTTGAGTGATAGAGAATAGTAGCACTGCTGTTAATCCGTTTTTAAAGTCACTGTAAGCTGCCATGTGCACAGCTAAGGCTGCTTTTCTCCCCAGTGCCTTCCTTTGGCAGGGCACTGGGGAGAAAATTAGTCTTAGCTATACCAGACAAGGATTGTTGTAAGGTTTGGCTCTATCAGTTTCTGATACAGTAAATCACTGCACATGGCTTATAAATATTACCATGTAGATAAGCATTGTTGTCATGTATGCTCTTAACCAATAATGTGGTTAAGATTATGAGTTATTTTTTAAAGAGAATCATGGGAGGTGTCTTTTTATCTCCAGATCTCTCTTCTTCACTTTCTACAGAACCTATTTTTACCACAATGTTGAGGACTTTTTATTGAAATAGATGCTTTTATAAGGGGCGATCGTGGCTCAAGAGTTGGGAGTTCGCCTTGTAATTGGAAGGTTGCCGGTTCGAGCCCCGGCTTGGACAGTCTCGGTCATTGTGTCCTTGGGCAAGACACTTCACCCGTTGTCTACTGGTGGTGGTCAGAGGGCCCGGTGGCGCCAGTGCCGGCAGCCTCGCCTCTGTCAGTGCACCCCAGGGTGGCTGTGGCTACAATGTAGCTTGCCATCACCAGTGTGTGAATGAATGGGTGGATGACAGGTTGTGTAAAGCGCTTTGGGGTCCTTAGGGACTAGAAAAGCACTATACAAATACAGGCTATTTATAA